ATTGATAGGTGAGAGAAGTGCAGAGCACTTCTTTTTTTTACCTGAATTCGATTCAATACTGCATTTTTTTAGTCTTGTGAAACGCTTAACTTGTTTAAAACATCAGGGGAAAAATAGCCATGCTGGCAGTATAACTGCATATAAGCTCTAAGCCGGCCTGCCATTTTAATAACGCTTTGTATGTTTAAACACGAAACACTAAAAATCAAAAATCTAAAGGTATTTATTTCTTGATATTTTTGTTTTTAACTTGTAATCATTGAGTTGCTTCATACTCAAGTGTTGTTCAAAAGGATATACCAACTCAGTCTAGAGGTTGGACAATAAAAAGACTCCAAAAAATTTAGTTGTTGAGAACAACCGTTATTCACTAACTCTGAGGAAAAAATTTGTCTTCTTTTGGCAGAAATTGCCCTTCAGCAACTTAAAGTATCTCTTCTCCCTCCTCAAAGCATCACAAATGGAAAAAGTTGTGCTGAATGGATGTCTTTAGTATCTACAACCAGGAAAAAATGTGTTTCTCAGAAGGGACAGTGAAAAGTCTTTAGAAAACTGGGTTAGGATGGATTTGAACAGATCTCTTTTCTTACACTGGGAAAAGCGTTTCTCTTGTTATCATATCTCCTAGTGGGATCAGCTTGTAGCAAATTCAGTTCCATTTCAGGAGTTACAAGCCTTCAGTTAAACACAGAAAACTGAAGAGAGCTCTACATCTGGACAAAGTCATCTTTGCCATTTATGAAGCTATTCTAAGTATCAGTTAATTCCTCTCAAAGGTGAAGAAGCTGAAGTCTTTAGATGGTTTAAATTACAGGGAATGATACTTCCCCTTTGTAAAGTATTTAATGATATATATTCACTTCAATACATTTGTGATATTACATGTAATGCAGTGATACTAATTCCCTATCTACTGGACATCAAGAGAGTTCTTAGTGAACTCCCTGGAAGCTAAGATTTGATCGACATTGAGGTAGATATTTTGTTATCTTACAGAGACCATTTTGTATGAAAAGGTTTCCTGTGGTTTTGCCCTTGTGTTTGCCACTTGACCTCATTTTCTACCATTTCCTCCTTTGTATTTTAAATTCTAATGACAACAGAATTGTCCAGCTCTCAACCAGGCTTCAGCATATTTCTCACTTGTATCATTATTCACACTGTCCCCTCTGTGTTATAAAATTTCTACTCCTTTATATCACTAACTCCTATTGGTACTTCATAACTCAGGTCAGTGGCATCTTCTCCAAGAGGCTGTTCCTAACCAGCTGGCCTAGGTGAGGTTCACTTTCTGTACTACCCCATAGCTCTCTGCCCAATCTTTCTGTCAAACTGGGTCATGACTATTTCCTCTTATGGACTATGATCTGAGAATAAGTACCACTACTTTGTAAATCCTCAGTGTAGTCTGTTGTTCCAATATTTCATGTGATTAAGTAATTCATTACTCACATCAATGAATATTATAGCTTCCTTCTTTCTGGGACTTTCAGTATATAGAGAAGATAAATATACAAGTACAGAAACACATACATGATTTTAAGGCTATATGACAGCATAATGGAGTGACATAATTTAGATTTTGGATCAGGAAAATCTTTGGGGAAAAGACAATGAAATTCAAGACATGAAGAATAAATAGGAGTTAATTACACAAAGACTGGGGGTATGAAGACATCCTAAGCAGAGAAAAGAGAATTAATGGCCTTGTGCAAATCTGTACTAGGCTTTTTTAAATGCTCACAGCATTTTGTGGAGGAATAATTTATATAAAATAAGATGCACCAATTTTAAGGGTGCACCTTGCAATTGTTCAACATATGAATGTACTTAACGTAACTACTAACCAGATCAAGATAGAGAACATTTTTATCACTCCACAAATTTTTCTTGTTTCTCTTATTCTAGACACTTCCACCCCAGGAGGTAACAGCTACTCTGGCTTTCATCACTCATTTTGATGCATTTAAAAAACTGAAAAAAAAATTCAGTGAAACAAATATAGGGAGCAAGGGACTAGTAAGGAGAGAGATGTGAATGCAGAGATAAGAAGATGGCAGATCATGGAGAGTCTTGAGGACTTGGTTGGATTTGGAATTTTGGTCTGAGTGAAATGAATAGCTTTGAAGACTTGAGGAGAGGCAACATGATTAGATTCATGTATTAACAGCTATGCTAATTAGAGAGGGTTAAGAGTGGAAATAAAGGAGCCAGTTAGGAAGCTAATATAATATTCTAGGCCAAGAGATAATGGTGGCATGAGCCAAGGAATAGCATATAGATGGAGAGCAGTCAATTGATATAAGATGTGGGAGCCTGGGTGGCTCAGTCGATTAAATGTCCAACTCTTGATTTTGGTTCAGGTCATGGTTCATGAGACTGAGCCCCACATTGAGCTTTGTGCTGACAGCACAGAGCCTGCTTGGGATTCTCTCTCCCTCTCTCTCTGTGCCCCTTCCCAGCTCATATGTGTGTGCACACACTGTCTCTCTCTCAAAATAAATAAATAAACATATATATATATATAGACATATGCATATGTCTATATATATAGACATATGTATATGTACATATAGACATATATGTATATATGTATATAGACATATATATATATGTCTATATATATATGTCTATATAGACATATATATGTCTATATATATATGTATAGACATATATATAGACATATATACATATGTCTATATATATTATGTAATTTGAAGATTCTAAACACTCAAACATTTATTAAAATGAACTCTATTATTTTAGTAAAGATCATCATTAAAAGTTATGATTGTATTTAAACAGCTAATGTGGCTGAAAACTGATAGACATATTCTCCCAATTTTAAGTAGTACTTATTATTTCCTCTACTGTACTTCATAATGAATTCACCTATGAAGGGAATATTGCTTGAAGTTTTCTATAATAATTAGGCTAATATTTATCTTTTGGCCATGAAAAAGATTTTCCATCTTTCTCTCTACCTTTAACCATGAAAAAGATTTTCTTTCTTTTTGTAATGAGCTTAAAATCATAACCAAACATAGAAATTTTCATTTTTACTTATTCACATTTTCAAAATATAACTCACTTAGCCATCAAAAACCACCATGGAGAATGAATACTCCAAAGAAATATACTGTTGAACACTTTTACCCTTAGATTAGAATTGTGGTATTTAAGTGAATTAATTCTATGCCAAAAAGTCTTGAATGATATTTGCATATTACTTAGGTGAACATCATCTAATTTAGTAAAATTATCTTTTAGTTTGCTTGTTTTCTTTTTTAAACAGATTTATTTCTCCAAATAGCTTAGTCAGTTTTTGTTTTGTTTGTATCCACATTTAGAAAATCTGATGCTTATTTTTGATTCTTTAAATAAATTTTTTTACATTTATTTATTTTTGAGAGACAGAGTGAAACAGTGCACGAGTTGGGGAGGGGCAGAGAGAGAAGGAGACACAGAATCTCAAGGAGGCTTCAGGCTCTGAGCAAGCTGTCAGCACAGAGCCCGATGTGGGGCTCAAACCCATGAACTGTAAGATCATGACCTGAGCTAAAGTCGGACACTCAACCAACTGAGCCATCCAGGCACCCCTTGATTCTTTATCTAAGTGGTAAAATGGAGTGTTAAAAAGTGGCAAGCTTACTGCATTAATGTCCTAAGGCTGCCATAACAAAGTGATACAAACAGGGTGACTTCAAACAGAAACGTATTGCCTCATAGTTCTGGAGACTAGAAGTTCAAAATCAAGGTGTCAGCAGGGCCATATTCTCTCTGATGCTCTGGGTAGAATCCTTCCTTCCCTGTTCCTAGCTTCTGGTCATTTGCTGGCAATCTTTGCATTCTTTGATATTGATGCATCACTTCAATTCTGTGTCTTCACATGACATCCTTCCTACGTCTCTGTCTTTTCATATGGCATTCCTTTTGTAAGGACACAAGTCATTTTGGATTAGAGACCCACCCTATTCCAGTGTAACCTTATCTAAACTAATTACATCTACAATGACCCTGTTTCAAAATAAGGTCACATTCTGAGATACTGGGGTTTAGGGCTTCACTGCATCTTTTGGCACATGATTCAACTTGTAACAGATAGCAAAAACAATCAAAGTAAGTTTCTGCCTCTGGGGAATTGCCTAGCAGCCAACCTCTCCATTTGCTGCATATATTTTCTTCATTACATGTAGAAAAATAACTACATAGAGGTATGAAAACGTGTGTGTGTGTGTGTGTGTGTGTGTGTGTGTGTGTGTGTATGTGTGTATGCTCACCTGTACAGACCTGATAACTCATAGAATAGTCATGGAAACGGGGAAAATGATGTTTTAAATTTCCATGCAGAGTTCATTCCTTTTATTTTGGCATAGTCACTGGCAAAATTTTCTTAAAGCAGGCTATGCATGTTTTTTGTAGTATCAGCACATTTGTTTTCATTCCTTTCTCTCTAGAGTAATTTAATATAGGCAAAATAAAATGGAATTCTGACGGATGGCTTATGTTTCTCCATCCTGGGTAAGATGGCTTACAAAACACCAAAATGCTCAGCAATATGGCTTATGAGGGATTTTAACTGCTTCTTCCTTATACTTGGGAAAACTTACCACTTGCAGTGAGTCTCACTACTCTAGACAGGTTATCTGAATAATTCAGATGATTACTCTGGTTCTGAATTTTCTCTGCAAACCTGATTTTGCCCCTTCAGTTCTCTAATCATTCTGTAACAGTCAACTGACATTTAATGCAAATCTACTGTGTATCAAACACAAAGAAACAGAGATGTTTTATAACTCCTAAATAGCTAAATCTAAGACTATTTTCCCTGGCTACTTCTCTTAACAACCTTCACATTGGATCATGGTGTATTCAAACATAGGAATGAGTTAAACAGGCTGAGGGGATGAGTAACTACATTAGGGGATGTTATAGTTATTCTTGTATCCTGCACTGTGCTTTTGTGACTAATATTTGCTTTCTATATATTTTTATTTCAGCTGAAAGAGACATCAATGTCTATTGTGGGGTGCAGGCCATTACAATGAAGATTAATTTTTGCACAGTACTTTTCTCGGGTTATTCTGAAACAGATCTGGCACTGAACGGAAGGCACGGGGATTCCCACTGCAGGGGGTTCATCAATAACAACACCTTTCCCGCGGTGGTCATTTTCATCATCAATCTCAGCACCTTGGAGGGCTGTGGAAACAACTTAGTGGTAAGATGAGTGTAAAATCCTGTGCTAGGTTTGGGGTCACAACAAAAATCTCTCCCCGTTTCATGAAATCATCAGAAGCCCAATCTGTCTTTCAGGAAGAAATTCCAATAAAACTGAACAAATCACTTCCGTTGCTTGTGTGAGGCTTTAAACATACAATTTTATTTTCCAATGATAGTTCCCCTTATTGTAGCTGAGCAGTAGAGGGGCTCGAGATCAGCTACACTACTATAAACAACATTATTTGTATGAGTGACATTGATAAATATTTCTCTACACTTTATCATTAGCTATGTTTCTCCTGCTTTTTATGGAACTGTCTTATCATGCAGAAATTGTTTGCTTCAGTGAGTTGGACAATGGGTCCCTTGGCCTATTGCCTCTTAGTGACCTCATTCAGAAAAAAAGATGAAATATAGAATGGGAAGACTAGACTCTCCTAGGTTTCACGTTTACCGTGGAATGATCCACACCAGTGTCGTGTGAAAGAGGGCTGTCAGCATTTCCGGTGTGATATTCTCCATTGTGTGGGACTGTCCTTTGAATTTCAAAATGTTTTTCATACTCAGTCTTACTCATGAAATCCCAGTAGATTGTTCAGAAAAGGAAATCTCTCTAGTCATTGTGAAAATCAAATATTTCCATCCCCAAACAGAGTCACTAGTCTATGTGATTCATTATTTATGCTTGCATTGAACACACACACACACACACACACACACACACACACACACACAGGAATTGAATAAGGAATTGATTCTCCCAAGAATTAAAATTAATTGAAGTATAAATATTGTGATTTGAGGGGTGTTACACTGAAATTCATTGAGCACTATTTTTCATTTTGCTTGTTTAAATATATTCTTATTGGTAAATCTTAGCACAGACAAAAAGGACATCCAATGAGCATGACCACTTAGCACAGTGAATAAGGAGAAACTGACTTTTCCTCTTCATAAATTATTATTTGGGATTAAAGAGGAAGGCTTAATTTCTCTGAGGACAGGGTTTCTAAGACTTGATGGGGGATGGGAGACAGGAAAAAGATTTCTCTGATTTCCTTCTTTATCTTTTCCCAGAGGGTAGTTAGAATATTGTGCCCATGACCATTTCAAGCCTGCAGCTTGAGTATTGTTGACTCTTTTTATTAAAAACATTTATTCATCTCTCTGAGTTGTGCACAGAGAGGTTATGAGGTGAGCCTGAGGGAGTGTGACGCAAGCTGGTTATTATATGTCTGTATTTCCTTGTGAAAGGAGGAACCCACGTGGAGAGACAGAGTTTCCCTCCTCCCACTGTACCCTGGGGTCTTTCCTTCATGGCACTTTCTTCTCTGGATTTAAGTCTTGCCCTGCTACCAAGAAAAAACAATTCAGGAGAAATGCCAGGCAAAGCATCTGGGTGTGTGTGCACACGTGTGGGCGTGTGTGTGCACACCTGCTGTTTACTTTTTTTAAAAAGTTGAATGATTTAGGTATAAAAGTTGCTACATATGTGTACGTGTGTTTTATTCTGTTTTCAAAGAATTGGTATGTTTAGCTAGCCAGTCAGGCAAATGTGAGAGGAGGGGAAGATTTGCATATATTTTCATTTTTTCATAGACGTCACCAGCTTTGGAGTTTGCTCCAAGGACAATCCTACATGGGAAAAATTAAGTAGACTATTACGTCACTGGATTAGGATAAAAAAATTGTTTCAATTATAGTAATTCTGGCCCTGTTCATGAATTAGCTAGATAATTGCCTCAGCGTTGCCTATGTACTCCAGGTTCACGCATAAAGTTTATTCTCTTGTTGAAAAGTAAGTATTATAGGTTTCCATAATATCTGCTAAAAGTATTTATTGAGCGTCATACTGTAGTTGATGTAATGGGAGGAGCTGTATTCTATGAAAAGTATAGAGTGTTATTATAAAAGTTGAGAACATTATTATTTCTATAATGGTGGCCAACAACATTATTATGAAAGTCAAGAACATTATTGATTATTCCTAAAATGGTGGTTCTTAAATCTTAGTGGGATTGAATAATCCAGTCTCAGGAAAATACACGTATGGACAATATTTTAATATAAAGTCTGGGAGTTCATCCCCTTGAAACCTGTCTATGAACTGTTACCCTGGGAGGGGATGAGAATCTCCATGTATGTACCACAAAGGAAGACCCTCAGATGGTCACATCAGAAAAAAAAAAAAAATTGTGACCTTAATGCATTTGCTCAAAATTTATCTCAGGGGCCCCAAGCTGCTGGTGTCACTGTGTGTTGCTGACCATGCAAAGGCAAAGGCTAAGGGGATACCCTACCCACAAAGAGTTCTGATTATGGTGAAGGGGACTGCCAGTTTAAGAGACCGCTCATGCACTGTGACTCCTCCTATGATGGAGATGAGCATTACGGTAGGACAGTCAGGAGGTTTCCTAGGGAAGCTGATGAGACCCAGGGAAAGAGTAGGATACATCATGGTGAATCAGGGGAGAAAGGAGGCAGAGAAAGCATGTGCAAAGCCTTAACGAGATCCTTGTGACTGGCTGGGGCATTTTTTCTTGAAATTTTTAAAAATGTTTTTATTTATTTTGAAACAGAGAGAGAAAGAGAAAGAGAGAGAGAGAGAGAGAGAGAGAGAGAGAGAGAGAGAGAGATGCAGGGGAAGGGCAGAGAGAGAGGGGGAGAGAGAGAATCCCAAGCAGGCTACCCCGATTCAGGACTCAAACTCACAGTGAGATCATGACCTGAGCCAAAATTAAGAGTGTGATGCTTAAGGGACTGAGCCACCCAAGCGCCCCTGCATCTGGGACATTGTTAACCAAGTGTGTGATTACAGGGATATGAAGCGAAAGTGGGAATCAAGATAAGGTTAACAGGAATATTTTAAGCCATGCCACAGAATTTGGACTCTACCGGTGAACATTTTGAAATGACTTATTGTAGCACTCTGAACATGTACTCTCTCTCCTTTCTTACTTATGAAATATGAATAAAGTGTCTTTGGTGAATATGAAGTTTCATTTAGTTAAAAGACATATTGATCACTTATAAATAGCATTATGTGCATATAATCTCAAAGCCATGGCATGTTGTAGTTGAAACAGATGCTAGAAATGATCTGGTCTAGGGGCGCCTGGGTGGCTTAGTCGGTTAAGCCTCCTACTTAAGCTTAGGTCATGATCTCATGGTTCATGAGTTGGAGCCCTGCGTTGGGCTCTGTGCTGACAGCTCAGAGCCTGGAGCCTGCTTTGGATTCTGTGTCTCCCTCTCTCTCTGCCCCACCCCACTCACACTCTGTCTCTCTCAAAAGTAAATAAATACTAAGTTTTTTTTAAAAGAAATAAATGATCTAGTCTAATGTTTTCTTTTGCATATGAAATGCCTGGATTTATATATAGCTATTCAATCATTGAACTTGATCTACCATTCTAACAGGTATCCACAATTCCTGGAGTCAGTGCTTATGGGAATTCAACTTCAGTACAAATAGGAAATATTTCGGGATACATTGATACTCCAGACCCACCAACAATCATCAGCTATCTACCTGGGCTTCTTTACAAATTTAGTTGTAGTTATCCATTGGAATACCTGGTTAATAATACCCAGCTTGCCTCGTAAGTTAAAGTTCTATTCTTACTTTCACATTCTGTCTTTATATTTGAGTCATTTTTTTTTTTTTTTCCTGAACGGACTTATAAAGATAGCAGGATTTGTTGAGAATAGCCAAACTCAAGGTAATGGAAACTATATTAAGTCCTTATCTATCTATCTATCTATCTATCTATCTATCTATCTATCTATCTATCTAACATTGTTATGACCCATATCAACAGATCAGATGTATATATTTTCCCCCAAATTAAAACTGGCTCCAACTAGTCAAATGACTGCCTGGGGGTTCTCCTCACTCCCTTCAGAATTGCCAAAGACACTAATTGCCCAAGCACTGGAGTGCTTATGCAGTCCAGAAGGTGTACCATTTCCAGTGGATAGAACAGTCACTGCATTGTTGGGTCCTGCTTGGCTTCAGACTCTGCCAGATGCTCTCACTGTGGGACTCTGCTGCCTCAGAATCTGGGGGCTCTGTGCCTCTTGCTGAGGTGTCAGCTGCATAGGTGCTGATGGTCCCCCAAGAAAGGTGGCCTCACTCAGAGCCCAGGAACTTCAGATATGGACTGTTTATAGTCATGTATTGATTCATTTTTCCCAGAGGACATACTCCAAGACAGGGTTATATCCACATTACAACAGAGTCACTGGAGTTGTCAAATATTTTTGATAAAGTGGGGTGATTGAGTGAAAACTTTCTCTTCTCAGTTCTAGGGTTTGTTATCACAAGGGTGTAGTTATTGTTTAATCTTAGTCATGAGGGAATGCGGAGGCCACATTCTGTTTCGGTTAAAAAATAGTCACAGCTGGTTTCAATGGCACAATGATGATAAATATCTTGGTGAAAAGTAAGACTTGGAAAACAAGAAAAGAAAGGCTTTGAGTCAAAAGGATACAGGTGTAAAGGGAAGTGGGCCATGAGGGTGTCACCATCTCACTCTGTTCCACCTTACTTTCCCAGTAAACACATTCCTGAGTTGCGGTGTATATGGAAATTCATTCATTTATTCAATAAATAATTATTATGCTTCTACTATGTGCCATGCAATGTTCCAGCAGTGAACAAAGTAAAACAAAATCCTTGATCTTATGAAACTTCTAATGGGATTGATGAAAATTCAGATTCAAATTATATTGGAATGACGTTTTTCTTTAAAGTCTCATATATATAATGCAAAATGGAAATAATGCTTTTATAAATAAAAAGATCATAAAGAACAGTTTGTCTTTATTTGGTCTCTTTTGCTTTTTGATACGTTCAATGATTTAAATCGTGTGCCTACTCCAGACCTAGCTAAAAGTATGTCAAGCTTACTCAAGAGTTTTAGTGCCTTAAATCTAATATTAAGGTGTAACTGAAACTTTTAATTTAAAATCTATCAATGCTTTCCTTTTTCTAAATCTGTTTTAGGTCCTCAGCTGCTATTTCTGTGAGAGAGAACAATGGTACATTTGTCAGCACTTTGAACCTGCTCCTTTATAATGTAAGTTGATGGGTGACGGATGTTATGTTCTCTCTCATCATACTGAGGAGCCATTTATGTGGATGGATTTTATATCAAAACCTACCAAAGGCCACATTAACCCTGTTATACTTTGGTAACATTTATCCACCTTTACTACCATTTTTATATATCCTAGTGATAAAGGTATACTAAAAACTCCATTGCTTTCTAAAAGTTGATAAATGACTTAGATTTTATTTTGTAAATGTGATTCTACATAGTTATTCCAAGTGTCTATCTACATTTATATGTATATATTTATTTGCATGTGTGTGTGTATGTGTATGTGTGTGTGTTTAGCCATAGTCAGGGTCAAGATGTTAGCAGTAATATTTTTGTGATAAAAAGATAGGAAAAGTCCAAATGCTACTTCTCTTGAGGGCACGCTTGGTGATGAATGTGTTAATATTTTCAAAATGGATTTTGGCTGATGACAATTCTGTCACATTTGAAATAGTTTGGGTTGACTACATAGTATTGTCTAAACTCTTGTCATGTAAATATCGACAGTGGCAGGAAAACATAAAAAATACATGGATTTCTATTTATAACTCTAACATTAATCCCCCAAATGATATTTTCATGTTGATTAAAAATTTTTATTCATACATTTTAAATGCCTGATTTAAATATCAATTTTTCAATCTATCAACCAACATTTTGGTAAATTATGAATCTGATTTTTACATTATTATTCATGTCATCATGGCACTGAGTTATAATTCATGCAACTGATTTAAAAGTCAGTGCTTTATACTTTGAATATAATGAGCTATAAATATTGTAGTAGGACATTTTCCAAAGGCATTTAAAAAATCATGTTTATAAGTTTGTAGTCTGACACCACTGAGTTCTAAACAACAAATTAAAATGTATTGGAATGAAGATGGCCTTTCTGTCATTTCTAAACTTTCCTCTGCAAGGAGAAACTGCCAACTTACTTGGTTCTATAATACTCAGCAAATATGTGCCAGTATTCATTCCCAATATGAACAGATATTTATTATTGTTTTGAGCAGTATTTTTAAATTGGAAAGTTCCTATCTGCTGATTTATACATGTAAGCTCCCTGAGGTAGAATTGAGGTGACTGGTTTGGGTTCAGTATTATTGGTTATTTTTGAGTGAAACAAAGATGAAAATTCCTGATTTTAAAAAAGTAAAAAACATGCCCAAATGGTATTTAATGACACCATTATTTTTTGTGTGTAAAATTAAACTATTCCCTTACTGGAAAAGCAGAAAATAAAACTTTAGAAGTGTGGATTTGTTGAGAGCTTTGCTGTGAGGGTCCTTCTTTTACCATTAGAAATAGTATTCCTCTATTGTTAACTAGACATAATCCTTCAAAAACTTTCTAGCATCTTTTTAAAAAATTTTTAATGTTTATTTATTTTTGAGAGTGGGGGAGGGGCAGAAAGAGAGGGAGACACGGAATCCGAAGCAGGCTCCGCGCTATGAGCTGTCAGCACAGAGCCTGACGCGGGGCTCGAACTCACAAATCCTGAGATCATGACCTGAGGTCGAAGTCAGATGCTTAACTGTCTGAGCCACCCAGGTGCCCCCAAAACTTTCTAGCTAGCATCTTAATGCTAAATAAAAGCCTATAATTTGGTGATAACCTTAAGATTATAATTCTATGGTAAAAAAGGCAACCAATTGTTTGATATCAGACTATAAATGAACTAGGTAGTGTCAAAACATCTCATTTTTTTTTTTGATGTCTATGCTTTTTTTTAAAACATTTTTTTTTTCAACGTTTATTTATTTTTGGGACAGAGAGAGACAGAGCATGAACGGGGGAGGGGCAGAGAGAGAGGGAGACACAGAATCGGAAACAGGCTCCAGGCTCTGAGCCACCAGCCCAGAGCCCGACGCGGGGCTCGAACTCACAGACCGCGAGATCGTGACCTGGCTGAAGTCGGACGCTTAACCGACTGCGCCACCCAGGCGCCCCATGATGTCTATGCTTTTTATTTGACAAGACAACATCTTAAGATCTCTGATGAGAATAGGATGTGGAAAAATATTTCAGAAAACAAAGCAGACACATCTCATTTTTAACCAGTTTGCAATAAAGGTATCATTAATGTTGGAATTAAAAAGTTAAATTGAATTTTAAAAGTTATTTACCAGACAATGAAATAAATAATAAAATTGAACAATTTCTCCACAAATTATGTTTTTTAATTAACAGACCATTTTTTACAGCAGTTTTTGGTTTACAGAAAAACTGATCTGAAAGTAGAGAGTTCCCACAGACTTCTTGTGCCTGTACACAATTTCCTCTATTATTTACACCTTGAATTTGGGGGTATATTTGTTATAATTGATGAACCCATATTGATGCATTAACTGAAATGTATAGTTTACATTGAGTTTCACTCTTCCTGTGTATTTTGTGAGTTTTGACAAATTCATGATGACTTATACCCATCATTACTATAACATATAGAAGAGTTTCACTGCCAAAGACTACTTTGTTTTTAACATGACATGGTCATAATATTTTGTCATGTTACAGGGCACTACCAAACTAGTAATTTATACATGCTTCCAGTTATAAATAAGTCACAAAGATGAAAAATACATTATAGGTAATATAGTCAATTATATTGTTTTTTTAAATTGTTTTTTTTTCAACGTTTATTTATTTTTGGGACAGAGAGAGACAGAGCATGAACGGGGGAGGGGCAGAGAGAGAGGGAGACACAGAATCGGAAACAGCCTCCAGGCTCCGAGCCATCAGCCCAGAGCCTGACGCGGGGCTCGAACTCACGGAACGCGAGATCGTGACCTGGCTGAAGTCGGACGCTTAACCGACTGCGCCACCCAGGCGCCCCAATTATATTGTAATCATGAGAAAAAGAAAGCCCTAGTAATTTACATGAGAAAAAAAAATTTGGTTTACTTTCACTAATTGATCCAAAATCATATTTATTATTTGTTTGAAACACTAACATTTAGCTGTCCAAGTGTAATTTTATTGCAGCGTTTCAAATTACGTATCATTACACAAGCATTTGTGGCCAAGTCTTCCTATTTCACATGCAGTTTTTGAATGATGAAAAGTTACATTTAATACCTACTACTCTCATTCCCTGATTAGTTATTTGGAAAGGAAAACTTATATTTAGTTCAGTGCAATTGTTCATATCTATGTATTCTGGCACCCAGTAAATGTACTTAGGAAAATTTTATTTATAAAAAATAATTTTTATATTAATAATTTATAAAATAATTTTATTGACTATTCAGTTTCCATCTATGTGGATTATTTCAAGTTGAACTGTGGCCTTATTTTTGTGTAATATAAATGTATCGGTTTTCTTCTCTGTGGAAAGCAAAGATGACTTTGTGAATTTGAATTGTATCTAAATGTTAGTGTCTTCTGAGAGGATAAAGAAAGAGTAAATCTGAAATAGTGTTACAGTAATACGAATGTCTTTTCAAAGTTGAAGAAAAAAATCTAAAATAAATATAATTGATTTTAAGGACAATATAATAAGAGTAAAAAAAAAACAACTATACAAAATAAAGGAAAAAAAAGTAAGGTAAAAACATTACCTTTTAGAAGCAATTTTAGAAGGAAATATTTGTTGATTCATTTGCAAATGACTTAGCAGTATAATAATTCTAACAAAGTCAACATTCTTCAAGACACTACTGAGGCAAGTATATAATCTCTGGCGGCCCCTGGCGGACTCAGTCGGTAGAGCATACAACTCTTGTGGAGTTGTGAGTTCCAGCCCCAAGATGGGTGTAGAGATTACTTAAAAATAAAACCTTTAAAAAATAAAATAAGGATCTATATATTTAATGAGGTGTGGAATACTTGGAGAAGTTTTTAAAGAGAACAGGAAAGATAAATAAAAGTATCTATTGGAAATGGTTAGAGGAGCTATTATCATTTATGATAGAGAGAAGTATGACATATATTCCCTCATTTATCTGGCTGTATTTGGGAATGAGATGTTTCACACGAGTTCAACCTTTTCAAGAGTAAAGCATTCATACTATAATTTTAAAAATTTGTAATTTTAAAAATTCAAAACCTGTTGCTTTCTTCCCAGCCTTCTTAAACAGAATATGCTCTGTATTTTTCCTTTGTTTGATGACTTTGAAATTTCATAATGAACATTAACATTTTTCCTTTGCTGAAAAATAGATTCAAGGTTACTAAATTTGGGAGAAGCAATTTGCTTCCATGCCAATTGATTTTACAGTTTACATTTTTAGAAATTCTTTTCTTTTCGTTTTCTTCTTTGCATCTTACAATTTTTTTCTGTTTTTCTGTATTATCAAATTAAAGCTGTCACATCTCAGTTTCTGACCTATTGCTTTAATACTGTAAATTGGGGCATGATATAAATAAGCTCTCTAGAATTGATATACACGAAGAGGAAAAAGATAGAAGTGAAGTCCTGAGACACCTTTCTATAAGTAACTATCAAGGAATTTATGAAGGAAATATTGTGGCATGCATTTTGGCAACTTGGAGGACTCATTGGTCTCTTTTTTGGTTTTCAATTAAATTTTGGTGCTTTCCAATTGCCAGATAAGTGATTTGGGACAAATGAGAGATTATCAAGGGCATAAGGACCTACAACCCCAATGGGAAAGGGCTTAAAGTAGATGAGAAACTGCATAACAGCCACTAATTTAATTTAAATAAATGAAGTATTCATTTAAATAAACTGAATATTAACAACTGATTATTAAACAAATTAAATACTAAACACTGACTATTAATCACTGAATGCGGTTTAAATACACAGAACATTAACCACCATATACGATAAGCTATGGAAACAAAAGGATTTATGTATGGAAATGAATTTGTTACTTGGATGTGATTTAAGAACAGTTCTGCCAAGAAACTAGAGGATTAACTAGATCATTTTTGGGGTTAATTCTGTAGTTTTATGGTGATTTGCCCACTTTTTTATATGGTATTATGGTTTTAAGTGGTAAATGTGCTGTTGTTGGGAAGACAATGATGAATTAATTTCTTATTTTTTCACCATTAGGATTCAACCTACAGTCAGCAGTTAATTATCCCAAGTATAGGATTACCTTTGAAAACCAAAGTGTTTGCAGCTGTACAAGCCACTAATCTGGATGGCAGGTATTTTCAAACTCTTTAGTTGTTGTTGTTGGTTAAAACGTTTTGACTGCACAAAGCCTTGTGAATCATAAAGTTAGCTCATTCATTTTTAATTTAAATAATGCTGCCATTGTCACACCATTTAGGAATGCTAATAAATAGAAATAGCAAATTACAAAGATGAATAGGGACACTTATTTTGTGTCATTAATTGGAAAATAACAAGTCTTCCCATAAAGAAGGAGGGGGAGTTACTGGAAGAGGGAATAGGCAGACCTATTGGAATAGGGTAACCTGTGGGATACTACAATGTTCTATTCTTTCATCTGAAAGATGATGGGTCAGATGTAGTCATTTCATGAACACTGGTGATTTATGCGCTTTTCAGTGTTTATGTTACTATTCAATAAAAATGTATTAAAAAACAGAGGAACTCTCCCCATTATGATCTGGGCCAGAATTATATAAAATGATCCTCAGAAACATCTCTGTAAAAAACCCCAAAGCGATCAAGCTTCATATGACCAAGTTTTAGATAAACCAGAATGATCAAAATTGAAAGGGAATTCAAAAGCTGAAGATTCAATCCTACCCTATAATAACATTATCACATGTAACATTATCACATATAATATAAACTTTACATCCTGAAATCATCTTATCAAATTCAGGATTTAAAAAATGATTGGCATTTACTTCCCATAGGCTAGTAATTTTTATAACATCAGAGTTGGAATGAAGTAATGTATAAATCTAGGCACAGTGTAGCCATATGGGGGAAGATTATGTATTTGCCTCATGGTTTTCTTTTACCTACCACAGTGTCATTCATGGACTCCTACTCTCATCCCCACTGATTCTGGCATAATTTTCAGTATATAATTTATGCACCAAACTCCTTGCTGTATGTGATATTATAATATCCTCTGTCATTTGTTAGAGTTAGTAACCTCCAGAAACAGAATATTGCTGTGTACAGTGAACATAGAAGTATCTATATAGCTTGCTTTTAGGTTTTGTTTCTTCTCACTTTGACCAGTTGTTTTTTACACAATTTGTGTGTATGTGTATGTGTGTGTGTGTGTGTGTGTGTGTGTGTGTGTGTGGTGTGTGTGTGTGTGGTGTGGTGTGTGTGTGTGTGTGTGTGTGTGTGGTGTGGTGTGTGTGTGTGTGTGTGTGTGTGTGTGTGTGATATTAGCCTTAACTCCACTTGATGCAGGATGGCAATTTGCTGCAGATTTTTAAACATCTTGAGCTTAGGAGAATGTTTCAATAAACAAGAAACCTCTGAAGTAACTAACAAAAACATAGTTCTATTTTGTGGGGGTGAGGCATTTGTCAATATTTACTTCCCTAGGATTAGTAACTAATACCCAAAAGGAGATTCTGACTCTATATTATGCTTACTTCTTTCTGCAGATGGAATGTCTTAATGGATTATTGCTACACAACCCCATCAGGGAACCCAAATGATGATGTTCGATATGATCTCTTCCTTAGGTAAGTCTTGTATTGAGAACAAAGATCCAATTGTAGATAATTGAAATCAAAATCCAAGTTATATAAACAAATAATTGTAGGGCACTTCTATAGCTTTTAAATGTAAAGTTTTATATTTTGAGCTTTTAGTCCTTATAAAGCTGGAAGGATAAAAGTTGAGAAGAGTTTTCAACACAAAATGCTGATAAAGCTATTGTTGAATGAGAATTGCAAGTAAGTTAGGTCCATCAAAGATGTTTTATTCATGTTTAGGACATGTGGGAATATTTCACTGTCTTAGAAAAAGCATGGTTAGGATATTATTGGCAATAAGAGAAAGGCAGTGGGAGGTACTATTTACCCACAGCTAGACTGTCTCATCATATGTCAAAAGAGAGTAAAATTAAAGTAATGGTCCAGATAATTTAGACCCCAAAATGCTTTTCTTCATTTATCAGTATTTAAATGAAAGTATGATATAGCCTACTACTCCTTTTTTTTAACAGAGCCAATAACTTCAACTTCATTCTCCAATAGACAATGATAGAGTGAATGTAATCTACATTTGGGTAAAGGGGACATTGATCATAAAAGCATTCAGTCATCCCAGTTTCCTTTCAGCATTTTTATCTGACAGCAGAACAGACTTGAGAGTCAAGCAATGGCTTCTAATCATGCTTACAAAATGCAGTTGGCTCAGATCACTGCTGCTTATTAACACATTATGGGAGTAATATGATGGGAACCAAAAGATTATGCTTTATCAGCTAATCAAGGTTAAGATGATGTCCAGAGACTAGGTCAAACTGATAATCTTATATCCTATTGCTGGAACTGTTAATTTAGGCAACATTTTTGGGAAAAACATGTCAGTATATATCAAAACCTTAAAAGATTTTATATTCTTTGATTCTGTATCTACAGGTTTGAAAACATACTCTAAAATATTTATGATTTTATGGTTTATCAGTGATATTTAAAATAGTAAAACTCAGGAGCAATGAAGGCTATTCAGCAATGAGGAAAGGAAATGACTAAGTGGATTGTGGAGAACTAGTAATTTGGGAACTCACACAGACATTAAATTATATAAAGTTATTTATAAAACAGAAAAAAAAAGATTGGTCCTATTCTATCTCCTCCCTTTCTGTCTTCGTGGTATTTTTATGCATGGAAATAATGTGGCTCTTTAAATTTTACATGAATTGAAATATGAAGTGAAATAATCAGCATATACAGTTTTATGTACAATGGACCTCATTTGTATAATATATGATAGAAAAGACTGTAAGGGAATCCATCAACAGGCTCCCAGTGGTTATTTATGCATAGGAGGATTGTGAGTCATTTTGTTTTGATGTTTTTCTTATTTTCCAAAATTTCTATAATGATCACATAGTGATAATCTAGAATATGATCGTCAGACTTCTAGTATGACTATGGCTTCATGCTGAATCTTTTCAGTGTTCTTATTAGAAACTATAGAGAGTGAAATAGTTACTAAATGAGTCTCTCAGATGTCAGTTGCAGTGAAACTAGGTGGAAAAGAAAACTGAGAAATCCCCAGATAGGTGTGAGTGATAATAAAAACAATTGAGATCAAGAGCAAATGGTGCAGAGGGAGGCCTGCAGGAAGTTCTGTGGGGAGAGGTGGTGGGAAAAGCAGGGAGGAAAAGTCAGTGTTGAGGGGTCCTGGTAGTGGCAGATTTCAGAAACAGCCAGGAGAAATGTGCAACAGAAGGAGAGGTTACTGCTGGGAGTGGGAGTTGCTAGGAACAGGGTTGAGGCCCAACGAGCCAACAGCCCTGGGGAATATGGAGAATGAAGGGATAGAGAATGACTAGAACCTCAGAAGTGGCGGATCTCAGAAAGTATCAGGAAAAGTACATCTTCTAAAGAGTGCAGGATTCACCTGGGAAGATAAGGGTCTTGGAATAGGCTTGTGAATGAACCTGAAGAACATGGGGCTGATCGTAGCATTCTTGAATATCTTTAAGTTCAGAAAGGCAGAGAAAACTCAACTACACAATTATGCCACATTCAGTGGAAACTTGTTGGCCATTGTAAAACAAAAGTGGGAGAACCTTGCATTGAGGAAATCCATGAGAGAGGTCACTACCATTCCACATTGCCCAAAGAGTCCTGGAAAATGACAAATCTAGGGAAATCCAACACTTTCAAATGTGAGTGGTAAGCAAGTGAAGATACTGCTTACAGTGTTCCAGTATACTACCAGAAAAATGTAAAAAATAGCTGAGAAAAAATTTTAAAGATTAATTAAACTCACTGGAAAGCCATTGCCATGAAAAAGATAAGATTTGCAATTAAACACTGCAACATTATTTTTTTTTAATTAAAAGTAACCATAAAGCAACAAAAGCAGAATTGAACAAGTGGGATTACATCAAACTAAGAAGCTTCTGCACAGCAAAGAAAATCATCAACAAAATGAAAAGGCAATCTACTGAATAGGAGAAAATATTTTCAAAACATATATCTGATGAGGGGCTAATATCTAAAATATATAAAGAACTCATATAACTCAATAGCAAAAAACCAGACAATCTTATTTAAAAATGGGCAGAAGATATGAATAGATATTTTCCAAAGAAGACATAGAGATTGTCAACAGGTACCTGAAAATATCTTCAATACCACCAATCATCAAGGAAATGCAAATCAATACTATAATAGAGATATCACCTCATACCTGTTAGAATGGGTTTATCAAAAAGATAAGAAATAACAAGTGTTGGTGAGGATGTGGAGAAAAGGGAACATTAGTGAACTGCTGGTAGGAATGTAAATTGGTACTGCCACTATGTAAAACACTATGGGGCTTCCTCAAAAAATTAAAAATCAAATCAACATTTGATCTAGCAATTCTGCCACTGGGTACGTATCCAAGAAAATGAAAACACTAACTCAAAAAGATTTATACACCTCCGTGTTCATTGTAGCATTATTTACAGTAGCCAAAACATGGAAACCTGTGTTCAATGATAGAATAATGGATAAAGAAATTGTGAATGGATATCAGATGGGAAGAGAACCCCCACAGATATCATAGACACAGGGAACAGATTAGTGGTTGCCAGATGTGGGGACTTGGGGGTGGGAGAAATGGGTGAAGGAAGTCAAAAGTTAGAAAAAAAAGAATAACTGAAATGGGAAAATAGAGAAGGACAAGAAGAGGAGAGAAAGAACAAGGCAAGACAAAAGAGTAGAAGAGTAGAGGGTGAAGAGAAGAGACAAGGGCAAGGAAAGGAATGGAAGAAAAGGGAAGGAAAGAGAAGGGAAGTAAACAAGTAAGAAAAAAGAAAAACTTATATTCTCTTTTTTAATAAAAATAAATGTCCTGAAAAAATTCCTGGGAAGATTGAGTAGATACAGTTTTGCCTATTCCTCCTAAGTGTGTGTGTGTGTGTGTGTGTGTGTGTGTGTGTGTGTGTGTGTGTAAGCTTTGAATATTATATACAAAACAAGTATATATATTTAAACTCTGAGTATTATATACAAAACAAGTATAAGAATAATAAAAAAAATAGAGAGATAAGGTTAGACCAGCTAGGGACTCTAAGACCTAATGAATTATGGTTTTCTTTTTGCCTTTTGTATCCCACACTTAGAGCTGAAGAAGTCAGGAACTCAGATATATCAATGGCTACAGATATAAATAAATGAATGGGTGATAAACCCGTTTGAATGAATGAATGAATGAATGAATGACAAAGCCTGTCCTCTCAAGACAAAAGACTAGGAAAGGAGTAGCTTAGTAAGACAGAGAGCTTTTACACAATAATTGTACTATTCTAGTCTAATACCACATCCCCACCCACGCTAGCAAAGACTGAGTGGCAAGCCAAATTTCTACCCTTGTCAGTAACAAGGTGTCCCAATATCCCATATGGGATGATTTCAGAGAAGGTGGAGTGGGGTTTCTGTACTTCTCCCCCCTGGCAATAATGAGATACCCTTACATGCCCTATTGGGTTGACATAAGAGGAATCCTAGTGGAAAGTCAGACCATTTACTACAATGCCACAGTAACAAGGCCATAGTCCTTGTGGTGTTGGTGGAGGCCACTCCTACCCTATGTAGTCAGGGAGATATCAGTGGAGGCCTAGTGGAGAGTAGAAACTCTCACTCTATCCAGAATTAACAGGATCCCTGCTCCTTGGGTGTCAAGAAAGGCCAAGGGGAAGTCTGGAATTCTACTCCTATCTGGCAGTAATGACACAGCATCCCTCCTTCCTTGATGAAGTGTTGGAAAAGGAAGTCAGCTAAAATATAAGGTTTATATAAGATCCTGAGTCTCCTAACTAATAGCCCAAACCCCAACGTTCGGTAAAAATCACTTGACACAGCAACAATCAGGAAGACCTCAAAATAAATGGAAAAAGAACAAAAATAAATGTGATGGAGAGTTTAGAATTATCTACAAAAGACTAAAGCAGTCATTATAAAAAGTTTTAACGGACAATAGCAAACATGCTTATAACAAATGGAAAAATAACAATGAAATGGGAAGTCTCTGAACAGAAATGGAAGACATAAGGAAGAGACAAATGGAAAATTTAGAACTTAAAAATACACCAACAAGAAAACTAAATATGCAACCACCCTACAATCTAGCAATTACATTTCTGGACATTTTTCTCAGTGATAATGAAATTTATGTAAGAGGCTCACACATACAAAAATGTGTGCACAAATATTAATAGCAGCTTTATTTTCATTAGCCAAAAACTGGAAGAAAATAATATTCTTCAATGAGTAAATAATTAACTGTGGTGCATCAATGTCATGAAATGCTACTTCTAAATGAAAAAGAATGGATTATGGGTATACATAACATAGGTGTATCGCTAGATAATTACAGTAAGTAAAAAAATCAAATCACAAAAGGTTACATAGGGCATGATTCCACTTATAAAACACTTTGAAAAGACAAAATTTTTATTAGGCAGGATATTCCAATGGCTAAATAAAGGGTGTAGCCCTAACAGATATTATACTTAATAATAGCTCTAAAATTATTAAAGGAATGTGATATTATGAAAGATTAGTCACGTACACAAAAATTAGACTATTTTATTGAGTTCAGAAATAGATCCAAAACATATGGGAGTTTACAATATGATAGACTGTGATATCACAAATCAGTGAGATAAAAAGATTTTAAAAACAGTGCTGCAAAGTGGGTAACCATGAAGAAAATATTGCATTGGATCTATAGTTCACTCAATACACCACAAAGACTTTAAATAGATTATTAATTTGAATGTAAAAAATACAGTTTTAAAAGTGGTAGAAAAAACCATATTAACATAAGAAATATTTTTAAAACTTTGATGGAGGGAGATGGATGGGAGATGGGCTAGATGGGTGATGGGTATTAAGGAGTGCACTTGTGATGAGCACTGGGTGTTGTTGTATGTAAGTGATGAATCACTGAATTCTGGAACCAATATTGCACTGTATGTTACTAACTAAAATTTAAACAAACAAACAAACAAAGAAACAAACAAAACAACTTTGGTGTAAGGAAAATCTATATGTGGCCCAAATACAGATATACCTTGGAGATGTTGAGGGTTTGGTTCCAGATCACCCAGTGAAATAAATATTGGTAATGAATTTTTTGATTTTCCAATGAATATAAAGTTATGTTTATACTATACTACAGTCTTTTAGGTATGCAATATCATTATACCCAAAAAACATTGTACAACTTTACAATGTAAAGTTAAAATATACTTTATTGCTAAAAAAGGCCAATCATCATCTGAGCATTCAGTGAGTTGTAATCTTTTCGCTGGTGAAAGGTCTTACCTCGATGTTGACGTCTGCTGACTAACCAGGGTGGTGGTTGCTGAAGGCTGGGATGGCTGCGGCAATTTCTTAAAATAAGACAACAATGAAATTTGCCACGGTGATTGAATGTTCCTTTCATAAATGATTTCTCTGTAGCATGCCATACTGTTTGATTTTGTCCGCATTTTACCCACAGTAGAAATTCCCTGCTGCTGTTTTATTAACTGACTTTATGGAAAATCCTTTGTTGTCATTTCAATAATCTTCACAGCATCTTCAGCAGGAGTAGTATCCATCTCAAGAAACCACTTTCTTTGCTCATCCATAATAAGCAACTCCCCATCCATTTGGGTTTTATCATGAGCTTGCGGCAATTCAGTCACATCTTGAGGCTCTACTTCTAATTCTAGTTCTCTTGCTATTTCCACAACGTCTGTAGTCACTTCCTCTGTGGATGTCTTGAACCCCTCAAAGTCATCCATGAGGGTTGGAATCAATTTCTTCCAAATTCTGTCATGTTTCTATTTTGACCTCTTCTTAATGGCATCTAGAATGGTGAACCCTTTCCAGGATTTCAATTTACTTTGACCAGATCCATCAGAGGAATTACTATCTACGGCACCTCTAGCCTTGCAAAATGTATTTCTTAAATAATGAAAGTTGAAAGTCAAAATTATTCCTTGATTCATGGGCTGCAGCATGGATGTTGTGTTAACTTCTGGATAACTTGCTGCAGTTTCTGTGTCAGCAGTTGCTGATTTATCTTTTATGTTATGGAGTCAGCTTCTTTCTTTAAACCTCATGAACCAACCTCTGTGAATTTCAAACTTTTCTTCATCTTCTTTACCTCTTTCAGCCTTCCAGAATTGTAGAGGGGGCCTTGTTCTGGATGAGCTTTTGGCTTAAAGGAATGTTGTGGCTGGTTAGATCTTCTCTCCAGACCACTAAAACTTTCTTCATATCAGCAATAAGACTGCTTCACTTTCCTATTATTCATGTGTTCACTGGGTTAGCACTTTTAATTTCCTTCAAGAACTTTTCCTTTGCTTTCACAACTTGGCTGTTTGTCACAGAGGCCTAGCTTTCAGTCTGTCTAGGCTTTCATCATGACTTCCTCATTAAGCTAAATCATTTCTGGCTTTTGATTTAAAATGAGAGATGTGTGACTCTTCTTTTCACTTGAATAATTAGAGGTCATTGTAGGGTTATTAAGTGGCCTAATTTCAACATTATTGTGTCTCAGGGAATACGGAGGCCTGAGGAGAAGGAGAGAGACAGGGAGGAGGGGGAGGTTGGGGAACAACCAGTGGGTGAACAGTCAGAGCACAAACTTACCAGTTAAGTTCACTGTCTTAAAGGGACACAGTTTGGGGGGGGGCCCAAAACAATTACAATAGTAACATCACAGATCAGCATAACAAATATAATAACAATGAAAAAGTTTGAAATAGTGTGAGAATTACCAAAATGTGACATGGAGACATAAAGTGAGCAAATGCTGTTGCAAAAATGGCACCGACAGACCTGCTTGATGCGGGGTTGGCACCAACCTTTAACTCGTAAGAACCATGGTCTCTGCAAGCACAATAAAGTGAGCACAATAAGGTAAGATATGCCTTACTAAAAGCCATACAATAAAATATTGAAAATTTAACATAAAAACAAAGCTTCTGTGTGTGTATGAACACACACACACACACACACACACACACACACACGCACACACACACGGGCTAAGCAACAAAGTAAAACAATTGCAACTTAGATAACCAGCCGGGAGCTAGTCTTCCTCACACATAAAGAACTTAGAAGAATCAGGAAGAAAAGACCAACAACAAAATAGAAATTTGGGCAAAGGACATAAACAATTTTCAGATAAAGAAATGTAGTTGGCTCTAATATGTATGAAAGGATGCGCATAGTCATTTCCACTGGCAAAGATGCAAATGAAAATTATATGGTGATGGTGTCTTTTTCTTACCCAAGACCAAATAATCCAGAAATTTTTACATATACTTTGTTGATATAGTTCTGGGGAAATAAGGAGTTTCTTTATATATTACTTGGGAAGTACAAAATACAACAATATTTATAGAGGGCAATGTGGCAGCATCTATTAAATGGCCCTATAGATACATTGTACAGATAACCTGCTTATGTTCAAAATACTGTATTATATTTCACTCTTATTTGGATCCTGAGAAACCTAACAGAAGACCATGGGGGAGGGGAAGGGAAAAAAATAGGTTATAGAGGGAGGGAGCGAAACCATAAGAGACTCTTGAAAACTGAGAACAAACTGAGGGTTGATGGGGGGTGGGAGGGAGGGGAGGGTGGGTGATGGGCATTGAGGAGGGCACCTGTTGGGATGAGCTCTGGGTGTTGTATGGAAAGCAATTTGACAACAAATTTAATATTTAAAAAAACCCAAAAAACAAAATACTGTATTATAAGGCTATGCATTATTACTTTGTAAAAAGCAAAAGATTCAAAACAATGCAAAAGTACTTAAACAGGTACCTGATTAAATAAATGCTGGTACATGTGTGTGATGGAATACTACACAGTGTGCAAAAAGAATGAGGTAGCTTGCTAAATATTCATATTTATAAATGTGCATTTACATTTTATACATTCATAATGTCTAAAATACTGTGCTAAATTTTTAAAAAGGGAAGGTACAAAACAATGTGGATAGTGTGCTTCTGTTTTTTGTAAGAAGGAGGAAACAATAAGAATTCATTACTTTAGCTTTAAATGTATATACCCTGGGAGGATGCAGTAACAAGTGAGATCACCTCTGGCAGATTCGAATATGTGTGTGGAATGGTGTGGACAAAGGCAATCATGGGAGGGAGACTTTTCACTATATACCTTTTATTCTGTTTGGATTTTTGAAACTTATGAAAGTATAATCCCTCTAAAATTTGATGGTACTATTATAATCAGAAATTGATCTGTTTAAATTTTCTGATCTAGGTCACTCTTGGCATATTTATTGAGTTAGCTTATGCTCTTATTAAATATCTGTTACATGGCATGATTTTGTTAGCTCTTAATACTGCAGAAATTAATTTATAATTTTCAGCGGGCTGGTAATTTCCAGTAATATCCTGTTTTCACATTCCCTAAAATATAGCTGCGACAAAGATCCTCAGACCACTGTCATTGAAAATGGCAGAAGCCAGCAAGGCCGGTTTTCCTTTGAAGTGTTCCGATTTGTGAAACACAAGAATCAGAAAATGTCCACCGTCTTCCTGCACTGTGTTACCAAGCTCTGCAGAGCTGATGACTGCCCCTTCCTTATGCCAGTATGTTTTTAGCAACTTTATTCTAAATTGTCAAATTGATCTAAGCTGAAGGGTTATCAAATGTTAGGAACTAATTTCTATATGGAAAGCGGATATGCATTGGGTCAAACAGTTTGAGGTAGGATTTATTTACTTATTCATCCAGTAAAGATCTACTGAATGCCTATTTTGGGTCAGTTTGAAGTAGGATTTATTTATTTATTCATCCAGTAAAGATCTATTGAATGCCTACTTTGTGCCACACATAATACTTGGAATACAGCCATGTGTGCGTGATTTTCTGAACTCATTTAGCTTATCTTGGAGGACCAGGAGACAGTAGTGGAAGAAAATGAGACAAAAATGTTATGGTGCAAAGGCAGATTGTACATATAGGTGTAGTAGGAGACAGTATTGCCTTTGTGAGAGAGATAGAACAGGACAGATTGGGAAGTCTGATGGAAGATATAAAACCCAAAGTGTGATTTGAAGATGGATGAATCACAAAGGGGCAAAATCAAGAGTGAGAGACCCTCCATACCAAAGATTGACCAAAGTCACCGACATATAAGACAGAGTAATCAGGGAACTACCAGGCCTTCAGTAAAGTCATGGAGCAGAATAGAGGATGATTGGAAAACCTGGGAAGGTGCACAGGGCTAGCACTGGAAAGGTAGATTTGGCCCTGATGGCCAGAAATCCCTTGGCTTACAAGTTAGAAGTTCTAAAAGGTGAGGATCTTAATTGCATACAGCCATCATTAAAATACAGATCCATTTACCAGTGAATAAAAAAAAAAATCTATTTCTGGCAGGCCCCCTGAGGTCACATCAATATTAACCTGAAAAAATGCAAGCACATTTTTTATTTGAAATAGCTTTAATATGTTTTTATTTATGCTCAAATTCAGGCATTTCTTCACAATTGATTGCTTTCATCCTAACTAGCAATATCAGATGGGGTTAAATGGAGAATCCACATTATCTTGTCTCTGTGCTGACCAACAATTCGGGGAAAGATTTATTAAAGGGTTGAGAGATATAAAAGTACAAAACTTTGATAAACACAGCTCTTTTTCAGGAGAACCATTGAGCTATGTAAATTAATGAGGCAAAGCCCAATTATAACAGGAGGAAATAAGAAATGTGGCCCAAGCCAGAAAAAGAAACACTGTAGCAGTTATATGCAAAGTAATTAAATAAATGCACAGAAGTAAATGAATAAAATTAAACATGTGGTATCTCTTCCAAAAGAATCTGCTTTCCAAATGGCCATAAAGAACCAATTTTGTGCCGGTGTGGAATTTCATTTGTTTTCATTAACACCTCAGATTTGCGGCCACAGAGAAAGGCGGGATGCAGGGAGGAGGACCACTTGGAGCCCCCAGAGCACGTCTGGAAATGCAGTCCTCTCTGCTGGTCCCATCATTACTCGGAGTGGTAAGAACGCTCCTCCTTTTGTGTATAATAATAGACTGTTCCAAAATGGCTTATTACTTGGCTTCTAAGGAGAACTCAGAGTGGTTTCTAAACAGCACTAATTAACTGTGAAATAAGATAAACTGCTAAGCAACTTCAATTTCACAGTAGTTTCCTGTTTACTCAACTTTCACACAAAGGGCAATATTGGTTTTACAATATTGGCCTTTTTACACATGTGCATGCACGCGCTAGCGTGCGCGCGCGCGTGCGCGCGCACACACACACACACACACACACACACACACAAGTATACAAGTATACGATGCTGGACATTTTTCATTCTCCCTACCCCTGAAGACTGGCCTGCGTGAATTGCACTCATCTGCTGTTTTGCCATCCAGTCTTTGGTTGGGCTTGGCCAGTAGGTAGTGCTATCAGCGGATGGAAGTGTCCGCATAACTCCTCCCAGCCAACTTTTCTACAGAACTAGAAACCCTCCCTTTAACCCATAGGCCAGGGAACTTCTTGACTTTCTCTTGTGAATTCCCTACATCTGTATAAATAGTCCCATTAATCTTTTCTTAAAATGCCCAATTTTAGTACCATTTGTTTCTTCCCAGATCCTGAATATTACACATCCCTTCTAGTGCACTCTGCCATGGTCATGAATCTAATAGCCACAACTGTTTATACACATATATTCTCATGTATACAAGTATTTGTGTACACACTCTTCAGAGGAATACTGCTTTAAGTCAGCGTGAACCCAGGGACATTTGGAATCAATTGGATAAAACAGACATGCAGTGTAAACAACACAAACTTAAGTCAGAAAAACTGGTTCTAGCTCCAGCTTTTGTCTAAACAAGCTATGTGATGTGGGATTGTATGCCATTTCTTGGGGCAAGTGTTTTTTCATCTTTAAAATGAGGGGTTTGAAGAAGTTGCCTTTAAATTTCTAACTCTATAGTTCTAAATTTGTCTTTAAAAAAAAGAAGAATTCTGGTTTGGATTATATTCTAATCATTGTTTCTCAATTTTATATAAGCCATAAGGCTATTACTGTATTTCAGTTAGACTATTTTTACTTTTTCTCCCATGCATCCTGTTCCACAGTGAAAAGAAAGTTTTGTGTGAAATAGGTAATTAAGGAAAATAAGGTTTTGGCCTAAAAAGTTTAGACAATTTCTTGAATTATTTACTCCTCTGGTTTGTGCAGAGCATTATTTAAAAACAAGCTAATAGGTTTTTAAAAATAATACAGAAATTTATTAAATATGAAATTTCAAACTTGGTCTGCACTCCCTGAGGTTTGGTATGTGTTTTCAATGGTTTGAAAATGACTGGTTTGTGGTTTATGAAAGGCCCAATTCTTATCTAGCTGTCAGAAATAGTTCATAGAATTACACTACATGGAAACTCAATTCTTGTTGCCAATAATTAGGAATGCTTTTGGGAAGGCACAGTAAGAAATGTTTTTATTTCTATGGAACATATCTAGTGTTAGTTTTGTAGAAGAAAAAAAAAATCTTGAAAGCGACATTTCTCTGCCCATGTTGAGTAAATGGCTTTTCCTCTTTATTAGCCTCCTTGCTTCCTTCTTACCTGGGCCAAAACAAATTTAAATATTACAAAGTTTAAATAATTTGTTAGTGTAAGATATGTTCTTATAAAGACAAATGTTTCTAAGGCTCCCAAGTCCCAGTAAAGATTACCGAGTAGAAGTTTCTAATTCTACCATAGCTAACAGCTAGACAGGTTTGGTAGGTTTCACCTAAACCATATTCAGTTGCCCAAACTATCTATGATAAAACTAAAAGAGTTAATGCCTTGATCACAATGTCTCTGATACCGTGTCTGGATTTCTTCTCTTCCAATTTCAACCTATTTCCACCTTAAGGATAATATTCATTTTCTCACAGAATAGTTTTGTCTTAGTCATCCTGGTCTCTTCATTGGCAAAGCCCCCAAAGGATCATGTTCAAACCTGCCAGATGCCCTTCATTCCTCTGTCACTCTCTGTGGATTTTTTTATTATTATTATTTTTTTTAACATTTATTTATTTTTGGGACAGAGAGAGACAAAGCATGAACGGGGGAGGGGCAGAGAGAGAGGGAGACACAGAATCGGAAACAGGCTCCAGGCTCTGAGCCATCAGCCCAGAGCCCGACGCGGGGCTCCAACTCACGGACCGCGAGATCGTGACCTGACTGAAGTCGGACGCTTAACCGACTGCGCCACCCAGGCGCCCCTCTGTGGATTTATTTTTTATAATTTTGATAAATGGCCGTAGGACGGTGCTCATTTGAGGGCAATCATGGTGGCCTCACTGTCTAGAGGGCCATATATGACCGTGTTCACATTATGATACTTATGGTATCCAAGCAAAAAATATTATTTTAAATTCTATATAAACACAGAACTCAGAAATCAAGCCATATTCATCCACAGGAAAATCCTATGTGAACTTCATGTCTAGCTTAATGACCAGGGCTACCTTCTTTTCTCAGTTTCACCTCATTTTTAACTTAGGTCAGCTAGAATTTATCTTTCTAGATCCTGTGGCGGGTTTTATATAGACAAGTCCAATTTCAGGCTTGATTTGCTCTCTTCAAAGCTCTCTGGTACTTGGGGATTTTTGCTTTGTTTACTCATTGAACCACTCCTTTCCCCTAGACAACTGACTTATGTCAGGTTTAATAAGTTGTTAAAGCACAATACTTTTGTTTTAATGAATCAGACATTCTGCTTATACTTACTTAACATTGTTAATCCTTTTGTTGGTTGATTTGGGAAAATATTCACATCTTTTCAAAGTTTAAAATCTTCAAAATTCCTGAAGTGTCCTTATTTTACATCCCCATGTGCTAAAATTATTCGGTAGGGAAATGCTTATCATGGGGAACAATTCTGGAAATTCACAAGTGCAAGCACTGGAACACAGTAGTACCTAATTGTTTTATTACATAAATTCTGATGGGGAAGTCCAAGCCAAGCTATTCAACTTGTGTCATTGAGTTTTATGGGGAGTTAATAATTCATTCAAGCCTCCACATGGGACAGGCACTCTGCTAGGAACTGGGAATACCCCCAGAGAACAGGCCACGGTCTTTGCTCTCAGGTATCTTAGCATTCAAAGGTAGAGATAGACTATTAACAAACATAACACAATGGAAGGTACAAAATTTGGAGGTTCTAAATTTGAAATATGTGGTCCATTTTACCACAAAGGTAGTTGAAGATTAAAAAAATAGTTTGCTTGTGCTAAGAAAGGAAAAATATTTATTCTGTATATATCTTACACTGATATTTACTTTTTCCATTTATTTCTACTATTTATATGAGAGAAAAGCAGAGAAAAACAATTTATCTTCCACTTCTGGCTTTCAAACAGCTGTGGTATTGCTGCCCTCACTTTCTTCCTGTGGGTCCTCAGCTAGCTGTATGTTTTTTGAAGAGTCCACCAAGTTTAGTACTCCAATCTGTTTTAATTCCAAGATGTTTCTTTTAGCATATATGTATATGGTAAGACCAAATGGGTGTGAGAGAAAAAAAAACAGTTTGTGTTGAAAAAAAATCTCCTGGAAAATGTCTACCTCCCTTTTGGAGCTAGATCAAACTTCAGTAGACGGGAAATTGATGGATAGTGGAAACAGCAACCAGATACCTTTATCCACTATTGAATACAATTCCGAATAATATCCAAATATTACATGCTTTGATTTTAGTCATCTGCCAGAGGTAGGATGCTTTTGGTTTTTCAGCATCTTGGAACCCGTAGCTGGTAGGACTCATTTGACATTTTGTCTCAGGTGAAGATTTTGTCCACAGCCCAGTCCTCACGAGTGGCACCTGGGATATTTATTGTTCTTCCGGAAGTGTTGGTGGTAATGTGGGAGAGAAGGAGGATATCCTGACTTCTTTTATTAACTTCAGGATGCAGAAAATAGTAGGGGCATCCAGTCCTAGGATCACCTAACTTGGTCGCCTAACTTGGGACACATAGGAGGATGGAGCGCTCTATTCTTTAAAAAAATTAAAAGCAAGTAAGTGTGATTTATAAACAATGAGTATCTTTGAAAAAGGAATTTTAGATCATTATATATTCTCTTCCATGTTTCAGTGAGGCAGCTTGTCTTGGAAAGGGAGCATGCATATATTTTGGAAGAATTGTTCACAGTTCATTCATTTTATCCATTTCCATGAGAAACAATGTCTTTATAAAGTAGTGTGGGTTGGAGATTAGGGTTTTCCTAGTTTTCCTAAGGGTGTCCCTATTATGAAAATTTATGCTGCCCCCCCCTTTTGTCCTATAGTGGTACACTGCACCATTCTAAAGAATGCTATAAATGAGAATTCTATTAATTCAGGGCATTGCACTTCAGACTCAACAGCAGAATCATCATTTATGCCAAGACTCATTCATATATCTTAAAAGAAATGGCTTCAGATAGCTTATAAATATCACACCAGGTTCTTCCAATCAATTGTTTCAAATACTTATCTTGGGGTTTCATATGGCCTGAGTTATTCATCTTTATAACTAAAAATATTCTCCATACTTGGCTAGTTTATATGATTTTAAGAAAAGGATTCTGAAATTGAAATTTTATTTAAACATATGCTTACCTTATCACAGAGGCTGTGACAGATGGAAGTTTCTTCTTCTGTAAAATGGGGGCAGCAATAATATCTAAACTATATGGCTGTTATGAGGACAAAATGTGATGACATATGAAACAGCACTTTATAAACTTTCTGGAATTACACACATGTTCATTGTAATAATATTTATCCTCCAAAATGAAACCGGCAACGGCACACATTTTATGGTTCAAATAACGGACACTCACAGACACATACGCACCCAAATGTTTAAGGACAGAAAGGAAATCCACTACATTGTACAGGATCAGGGGTTAATGGCTATATGATTACAAAATGGGTAACACAAGTTGGGAAGCCAGGTGAATGCATTCATTCCATCTATTATTATGTTTGCCAGGGATGAGTAAAAAATCAACAGCTTTGATCTTTTACTTAACAGATACAAAAAAAAACCCCTACAACTCAAGCTTAGGAGTCATGTTTTCCTTTCATTTAGTTATCAAGGGTGAATTTATCTTCTTGGAACTTAAAATGATGTTTTTGCAGATTATGATGGGCAAATTGGCAATGCTTAAAATAAAGTGGCACTAAATAATGAATACTTCTCTAAAACAGAATAACAAATGGCAGGTTATAGGGCTATAAAAATTGTAATAGCTGTTAACAATTACTGCCCCCACTAACCTGACTAAAGAGATAATGATGAAGCAAAGTTGGCAAGAAAAAATACAGTACAGTATATTTTGTGATTCTCCTTGTATGCCCGGGGCAGTGGCAGGGTGTGGGCCTGGGGAATGGATAGATAATAAAATCTTGGACACGTGAAACAGAAAATGTGAAAACAGAATTGTTTCGGAAGATTCTCATTATTGCCTTACCCATGAGGCTTGTGGGTGAAGGGAAGGGCACATGTAGGTAAAAAGTAATCACATAATTATAATAAACCTAGGTAAATATTTAAAGATACAATATTGCTTTCCTTTTTCTTTTCTCCTCCAGATGAGACTCCAACCAACAATTCACAGCTTGGTAAGATAACAAACATATATTGAAAATAAAAGTAAGATTTTAAAAATTTTTAAGTATTTTTTGATGATCAGTTGCACAACTCTAAATGATGAAATATAATGAGTTCTGGTTTTACAAGTTTTTATATTTTAAATAATAGTTCACTGAGGATTTCTGGACTCATATGTGACCTGTTGGTCAATTTTTATAGTATTTTATAGATGATTTTGTTTTTGACTGCTCAGGGGATACCTGACTTCTAACCCACGTAATCCTTTGGTTATTGGATTGAATTATAGTCAAATAGATTGTAGCATGAATCATTGTCATGCTGTTACTTTGCAAGATCGTAATGACAGATGTTTTGCAGGTATAAATTGGGATGAAGTGAGATAAATCTGACAGTCGGACCTTCCCACTGTTTGTGTTGTGCTTGCAGGTTCTCCAAGGGAACCTCCCTTCCAGCTGAATGCCATCACCAGTGCACTGATATCAGGAATGGTCATCCTGGGAGTGATGAGCTTTTCCCTTCTCCTGTGCTCACTGGCCCTTCTATACAGGAAGGCACCCACCAGTTTGGTGTTGAATGGCATAAGAAACCCAGTCTTTGACTGACTTTAACAGGTCCCTTCTCTCAGGAGGACTCACTGACTACACCCTGTGTTACTGCAGTCAGTGTTTTCATCCAAATTGAATGCCAGCCAGCATTTGATATTTGTAGGTTTGATAGATTTCACAGTGTAGTTCGTCAGCATGATGATAGTGAAAGAATTTGGGTCGCATTAAGTATGTGGTCAGCCCTATTTGTATGGCACCAATGGGTAGAATGACAACAAGCCAACCATATTCAGGACTCAGATCTTACAAGATCAGTCATATTTCATTTTATTTCAATTTTCTTTTGATAATTGGTTGTTATAGAGATAAAAGGTGGGCATAGAAAAAATATACATTTGTTGCATTCTTCCCCCTAAGCATTTATATCCAATGTGCTGGCATTTAGATTGTTTATGTGGTCCTAAATTGAAAGTTACTTTTTTATTTGTTTTTTTTTTTATTCCAGATAATTCCAGCTTGGGGATATGTTTTAATTGGACTGGTCAATTTGGACACCTGAGATTTAATTACTCTTTCTGTGACCTGAGTTTTTGGCCGATTTCCATGTCTGATGACATTCATTTAAAAAACAAACAAACAAACAAACAAACAAACAAACAAACTCAGGAAATGTGTCTTAACCTGGAGCACCTACTTGTGTAGCAGAATGTAAAAATAGTTGTTAACCTCTAAAGGAAACCAAGTGACCCTAGGTCATTATTCATTTACATGGGAGTGGCTGTGCTCAGTTTTCTCCTGGTTCACTGAGAAAGTCAGCACAAGTTCACTTTCCTCCCAGGTAAACAAGTCAGCTGCATTTTCAGCTGTGCTTCCAGCAGTGAGGCAGCTGCAGAGATCATTCTTCATTCAAGAGCCATTGCATGGGAAAACAAACCATAGTTGTGGGAGTGGACATTGTCCCCACACATAAGCATAATGTTCCCATGGGGTTTTTAGTAACCTAGTTTCCTTTTGTCCCTATGACAAAGAGTAAACAGGGTAAGTGTGTTTTGCAGAACATTGTTGAGTCTCTATGAAAAAAATGTCCCTTTCCCACAAATTTCTGATGCTAGCAAAGCAAATAATCTGGAAGAGCCCTACTTTTTAGGTGTCTTCTTGAAAGTGTCATGATGGCCATGGAATAAACAGTATTTTCCTGTAATAGTAAACTGCAAGAAGTTGTGATCCTTTGTCAGTTTTTCAAAAAAATGTTTAAAGGCCACGTATTAAGCAGCCTCTGTTCTTACCAAAAAATCATCCTTCTCTTTGTTCAGTCTATTCACACAACTGAATAGAACAATTCAGTGACGGGCATCAAAACCTCGCATGTGTGGGGGCGCCTGGGTGGCTCAGTCAGGTGAGCGTCCAACTTCGGCTCAGGTCATGATCTCGCAGTCTGTGAATCGAGCCCCATGTTGGGCTCTGTGCGGACAACTCAGAGCCTGGGGACTGCTTCAGATTCTGTGTCTCCCTCTCTCTCTGCCCCTCCCCCGCTTGTGTTCTGTCTCTCTCTCAAAAATAAATAAACATTAAAAAAATAATAATTTAAAAACCTAGCATGTGTGGCTACTACAAGTGCTATGTTAACCATAACAACTGCTGTAGAGACTAATTTCTGTTCAACATTTGTGACCCATTATTCACGACTTAATTTACTATATTATATGCAAATCACTATACAATTTTAAATTTGTTTCAAATGAAGTACCTATGCTCTAAAATTAGTAATTAAATCAATCATCAAATCAAAATACATCTTGTCTCCAATTGCCTCAACAGACCAGAAGTGTTTATATTATAATAATTATCGGATTGCCTCAACTTTCTCTTTCAAGGTATAGACACAAAGTGAAATGGGATCTGGAAAGTCTTCAGATAATTTAATCAATATGAAAAGGTCTAACACTTAAAAAAGCAATCTCCTCTTCCCTTTGTTTCTTCAAGATCACTTTGAAGTGACCATTCTGAACTTTGATCTGTGTAAAAATTTATTTTCTACTTTAAAGGGAAAACTCCTACAGAAAAAATGTATGGACCATGCATGCTACTTATGTGACCTTATATGTGTACATGAATAGTGCTAAAATAGTCTAGTAAATCTATTTCAGATACTGTAAGTGAATTGCCATTAATCTGAGTATTAAATCCTGTGCACAGAATACTATCATTGAAACCAGTTTGTCAGTTTGATTTTTGTGCTTTAGGGATGGCTGCTGTTTCAGGTGTTGCCCTTTTACATTCCATACACCACTTTTAAAAACTGAATAATGGACACATCATTTTGCAAGCAACTTACATCTCACATTACTTTTTTTGCCATCCTTTCATCATAAATGGGAGGCTCAGAGCTATAATGAGGCGAACTGGGTTTGTTTTATACAGCTTTGTTCTTCTCAACCTGCTGTTATGTGTAGTATTTAGTTACACTGAATATTTTGGTTACTATAGTGTGAAAACCTTACAAAATATGTGCAAATGTTCCTTCAGTTTTAATACCTCAAACTGTTTTTTTGCACTTCAGGGGTAAGGTCTGATGACATGTAAAAGGTGATTGTTTAATAAAATGATTGTAAATGAATATCTTTAAAATAGTCACCTGGTTTTTTTAAAGATATTTCTCTTTCCTACCCTCAACATTCTCTTCCTGCTTTCAAAAACATTAAGAAATATTGAACTTAAGCCACCTAACGCAACAGGGAAGGGCGTTGATCTCCGAAGCTAGATGAAGCTTGCTCTCTCCATATTGAGCTCCCTGGTTACGGCTCTGTCTCCATCTCAGGAGACATATCCCAGAGATCAGCTGACGGTAAAAAAGTGTTCTTTACCTTGCATGTGAACACTGACTAAAACTGAGCCTATAATTTTTAAAACTTTGAGGGGAGAGTAAGGACTGGAAAGATAAGGATTCATCTTCCCAGAATTTCACAGGCTGTCATGACAGCTCCATCAGGGCCTGGCTGTCGTCCCTTGTTTGGGAAAGTGACACAGAGTTGAAAAGAGCTTTTCCTGACTCAGAATCTAATCTTACAGAAGTGAGTGCTACTCTGGGGCCTTGAGTGCTGGCACTTAACTTTGGGAGCATCACAGAAATGGTGGTTCATGGACATTGTCAGCTGTGGTAAATATAAGATAGTAAACTTCTAGAAGTGAGAAAAGAGCAGGAGAAGTCCATGGGAGACAATTGTTTGTGAACATATATGAGGCATAGTTTCAGGGATTTCTAGAGAACTTGGCTGGAGAGAATTATAACATGGTGGAGAGCCTTCTATTATGACTGTGGAGGCTGTTAGGCTAGCACACATTGGCTTTCATTCCATATTTATAAGGAAAAAAGCAAGCTGATCACAGATCAATTGCTTTTGAGATGAGGTTCATCAATTATTTACAAGTGAGAGACATTTAATATAAAACAATCCAAATATGTAATTTAGAAAAGAATGTAGTTGGGTAGTAAACAAAACAAATATCAGGGTTACCTATGGTATTAGGGCTTTCCAGAGAAAAGGAACTAATGGGCTATATGTACTGTATATGAAGAGGTTTATTTTAAGGAAGTAGTGTGCACAATTCGGGAGGCTGACAAGTCTCAATATTTGCAGGCAGCAAGGCCCAGTGGAGCTGGAGGTGTAGTTCCAGCCTGGGTCCAGGGGCTTGAGAATGAGGAGCTGATGGTGTATTTCCAGTCTGAAAGCTAGCAAGCTTAAGACCCAAGAAGGGCTATTATTTCAGTTTAATTCCAAAGCCAGGAATGAACCAGTGTCCCAGGTTGAAAGCAGTTAGGTTGGAAGGAATCCTCTCCCGGTCACAGGAGGTCTTTTCAGCTTTTTTGTTCTAGCCAGACTTTCAAATGACTACATGCGAATCACCCACATCAGGGAGGGCAATCTGCTTTGCTCATTTATTCAAACGTTAGTGTCATCCAGAAACACATCATAGACACACCCAGAATAATGTTTGACCTAATGTCTGGCAACCTGTGACCCAGTCAAGTTGACACAAAATGAACATCACAGATGGTAAACTTGTAAACACACCATCAGTATGTCTCACGCTGCTGAAAACCAGAAGTCCTAACCAATCTAATAACAGTAAGGGAATGAATAAACAAAAATGTTACAACAATTTGGCAATCTACGACTGAAATGATTTTGAAACACTTAATGTCTAGAGGTAGAAACTTATGAGCAGAGAGGTCCTCTTTTATAGTAGCTAACAATATGGATCAAATAGAGAAAAGATAGGGCCATGAGTAGGTGGGCAGTGATGAACTCCTCATGCCAAATTATCATATACATCAGGAGAAACAGGGCAGGAGAGGCTTGGCATCAAAGCACTGATGGAACCACATCCCACAGGGCTGGCCCTGGTGCAGAGTGGGTGACGACATCAGCAGTGACAATAGGCCAGAAGCCCTGAAGAGCATAAAACTGCAAAGCAGAGATATTGGGGGCAAATGCAACAAAGGAAGTGCTGGATGCTGGGAGGAAAGGCACCTTCTTAGTGGGAAGGAATTCACTAATAGGAGACCAAAGGAGAATGTTTGGTAGATGTTACCCACATTTGTCAGGATGGTGGTCCATCTCCTCCAGAGGCTCAGAGGAAGTGGAAACTGGATCAACATGTTACATTTTTGTGTTTGTGAGACTATCTTGCCTGCTTGCTTGTTGGTAAACAGCATCAGTCTCCACAAATTTGAATTAACCAGGAGAACTCAAAAAAAAAAAAATAGCTGTGGTTAATGCCAGTTTTTGCTGAGATAGCAGGGAGTGAATTGGTTTGGGGCCTTCTAGACATGAGATTTGGAAATCTCTGGTCAGGAAACTTTATTTTCTTTGTGTTCTTGAAAAAATGAAATTGAGAGCTCAGATTATCTACATAGTTCAAAGCTCCAATTCCCTTTGCTCAAGTATCTGGATATTTTCTGTTTTATTTAAATTGCCAACATAATTACCTCAATTTTCCGTTTCCCTTTTTACGTTGAAAAGTGAAGCGTCATCATTATATGTTTAGTGAAAGTCAATGTGGCCCAAATTTTGAGGTTAGTTTCTGTCAAGGGTATAGCTCTATTAGCATTGCCCAAAGCAGAATCCATTACTGAACAGTCCTGCTGGTTTGGCTAATCAACTAACACTGGAAGATCCTGGGAGAGTTGTGGCTTGACAATTTCATGCAACTTTGCCTCAAAGTTATACAGGTCCTTAAGCTATTTCTCCTCTTGTATGTAGTTTGTAACTTTTTTTTTTTTTACAGTAGTGAACTATTGACTAAAATGAAAAATAACTCGAGAGAGAATTAGTACTTTTTAGAAATTGTTTACCACTTGGGAATTGGAAATGATATGCTCTTTAAAAACATATTGTTTTGCTAACATATATTTTGCTGTTGCCAAAATGAGATGGCAGAGAATAATGCAGAGTGCTCTCTCTGGGCACTGGGAGAGAAAGAGAACCCAGGAATCTCCCTTAAATCCTATAGGGATGAATCATGATATTTTGGGGGCATCATCCTCACTCGCAAAATAGAATAATAGGGAACAAAGGTGATTCACTATCTCTCATCAAAAGATTTATCAAAACTGTAATGCTTTTTTCCAGTTTGTCAATGGATATGTAATGAGAATTTCTCTCATTTCACTCTCCACCATTCTTGACTGTAGCCCTTATCCCATGATCCAAAATGGAGAAACGGCCAAAAATAGAAGCAAAGGGCATATAGCATCAGTAGTGTAAAGAAGTCTCCTGGAAGCTGCCACAGGACACTTTCTTATTCCACCAGCCAGAACTCAGTCACATAGTCACAGTACTAGCAAGGGTGCCTGGGAAATGTATCGTGGGTTTCCACGTGCCCAGAGTTATCAGAGGATCTGACTTAAACCTATGTTACTCAAATAATGTCATTATTTACTCATGGTCTTAAAATATTAACTACATTGATTTATGTACAGGGATATTTATCACTGTTATTTTTAATAAAAAAGTATTATATGTTACTTAAGTGATCCCACATGCAGAAATCTTAGATATATTATGGTACTTTTCTGTGATATAAGGATATGTAGACACTAAAAATTAGTTATAAAAAACCTTTACCAAATAAGAAAATGCTATAATATGAAAAAAAAACCCCAAAAACAGAGTACAGGACCATATCTATAATATGAGC